ATTTAGATGTTGTTAAAGAATAGCATAAAAAATATATCTTTTACCTCACAAATACTATAAGAAACGTCAGATAGTAAGTCAGCTAGGTAAAGACCGAACTTCGGAGATGAGAACACAATACCAGCACCAGATGCAATCAAATACACTCAAACTCCAATGGTAATGATAAATGATACAGACGACGATTCTCAAATAGCGTAAACGACATTACGAATAAAGACTGAGAAGAGCTCACTTGAAAGAAAAAAAAGGAGTACTAGGACGTTTCCATCAAAAATACCGAGACAACGGTTATAAAGCGAACGAATATTACTAATGCTGAATAACATTAATTTGTAAGTGAGGGCTTCTAGAGGTGGCAAGTGAAGTTATTAGATGCCACCCTGGATTATCAAAAGTTTTTTTTTTAGTTACTGTAGTCTAAACATTGTGCAGAAGCAAAAGGGGACCATTAAGGTAATTGCTTATGCGAGGTAAAAAAAAAAGAAGAAAAGTCCAATTATGAAGCATCATTAGAATATAATAAAGTTAGTATTAAATAATTTTGTACTATAATGTAAATTTGTTTAAACTTATATTTTACATTTAATATATTACATTGTTGTTGTTTACGCGCAAAACTACACAATGGGCTTATGCGCTGTGTCACCACGGGGTACTGAACCTCAGATTTTAGCGAGGTAAAATATATCACATAAATTTTATTTGTAAATAAAACAGAAGGATGTGTAATTTTACCAGTTTAATTTTATTTGTAAATAAAACAGAATGATGTATAATTCTACCAGTTTAATTTTATTTGTAAATAAAACAGAATGATGTATAATTCTACCAGTTTAATTTTATTTGTAAATAAAACAGAAAGATGTATAATTCTACCAATTTAATTTTATTTGTAAATAAAACAGAATGATGTGTAACTCTACCAGTTTAATTTTATTTGTAAATAAAACAGAATGATGTATAATTCTACCAGTTTAATTTTATTTGTAAATAAAACAGAATGATGTATAATTCTACCAGTTTAATTTTATTTGTAAATAAAACAGAATGATGTGTAATTCTACCAGTTTAATTTTATTTGTAAATAAAACAGAATGATGTATAATTCTACCAGTTTAATTTTATTTGTAAATAAAACAGAATGATGTATAATTCTACCAGTTTAATTTTATTTGTAAATAAAACAGAATGATGTGTAATTCTACCAGTTTAATTTTATTGTAAATGACATAGGTGTACGACAGTACAAGTTAAATTTGGCATTAGAGATTATATTTCAACTGTAAAATGTATTTAGATATAACTGTGGTATCTGTCGATTTAACTTACATATAAATAACAACAATGATGGATTATGTGATTGTGTAAGTCCTTTTACATGTTAATCGCAGAGGGATATAGTCTGATCAAATTTTGAATAAAATTATGCAGCTAATACTTGGTAATGGATATAATTTGACAACGTTCATAATTTTGTTTCATAATTTAAGCTTCTCTTAACACTTCAACCTACACATAGTATTCCCAGTTTCTGGATTTTTTTCTAATATTGTTTTAGGTTTTACCAGGAGAAGCTTTTGAATATCAAGATAAGCGACGAATGACTATAGAGGATTTGATTATGTAATAGCAACATATATAGCACCGCGATCAACTTATTTAACTCGTCTAATGTAAAACAACTTCTCGTGAGACATATGTATATTTCTCTAAAAGTCAAAGTTCAAAATAAGTAAACATAATAACGTATAAGAAGTTGTTTTTTATTTTATTTGAAAATATCTCATACAGAATAATTTAAAGTAGTGTTATGAACGAGTCATACATACAAAATATTTCATAGTTTAGTCGAACTATTTAAAAAGTCGAAGCTTGGAATCAAACTAGCAATGTTTTATTATTGCACCATTGTTTATTCTTTTTCTTAACCTTTCTTAATATTACCATTAACGACCCTCGTTGTTTTTATTCTAGTGTATGTTGTTGATAGAAGTTGTTGATTCCGAAACGTTCATTGGTGTGAATAAACCTGTTGACAAACAAATGTTTGCTATATCTTTGGTGCTTTTTTTTCGTAATCAAAGTATAGGTGGTCATTTTGGATTTTATTGAATGTATCTTGAAAGGGAAACGCGGTTGACAGTAAATATAAATTAGAGTGTTTTATTCGTTTGTTATAAATTTCGCGCAAAGCTACACGAGGACTATCTGCGCTACCCGTCCCCAATTTAGCAGTGAAAGACTATAGGGAAAGCAGTTAGTCGTCACCATCCAACGCCAACTCTTTGGCTAATCTTTTACCGTCACATTATAACGCTCCCACCGCTGAATAGGCGAGTATGTTTGGTGGGACGGGGATTCGTACCCGCGAACCGCAGACTGCGAGTCGAGCGCCCTAACCACCTGGCCTTGTCAGGCTCAGAATGTTTAAAAAAAATTAAGTTTGTCTACAATATTAACTAGATTCTTCTCCATCGAACATCCAAGGCTTGTTGTTACTTCTTTTTGTTTTTTCAAGACAAGGCCACTTAAACAACGTTAATAATATTTAGTAATTGATGATCTTCCCAAGGAGAAGTATAAGCTTTTTGTCATTTTTTTAGCTTTTTGCAATAATATTAAATATATAATACTATATTGAGACATTGAACCATTATTACATATGCTATTTATCACTGACACAACTATGTTTCTTGTCTTTATTTTAATACTTATCTGTATGGCGTATTATTTAGTATTCTTGTTATAACTTTTCTATTGTTGCCTGAGGCAACATGGCTTTATCTTGTTTTGCAGGGTTCCTTTCTGTTTAACGGTAAGGATTATATCATTTTCGTATCCGGGGGCACTTAGTCGCATTTGTCTTAATTAAAGTTATTGTTATACATTAGCGATTATTGCTAAAACTCCGGCGGTTGTACCAACTTTTAGCAGAGAGCTCCGGTTCCTTCGGATTTAAGTACATCCCGTTTTACAATCGCCACGGGACCTATACTTACTGTGCTGGACCTTTTCTGGGGGTTACCTGAGCCGGCGTTAATTTATGTATTCGCTGACTCATAAAACATAAGAGGTACATAAATAACAAACTAATCTTTCTCAACTCGGAACTGTTCGTGGAACCACAATGTCAATAGGAAAAGACTGCGTCAGTAATTAATATTAACTTTCGGTTGGAGCACATACCTACTTATATCAAAACTGAACGCTAGCATGCTGATAAGTAGACATGATAATAAGCCAGAAATTCTGATTAAATTAGAAGAAAAAGACATACAACAAGTAGAGAAATTCATATACTTGGACCAGATCATAACAGGTGATGGAAAATCTGAAGCTGAAATAGTGAAGAGAATTGAGGTGGCAAGAGGTGCCTTTAATAGTATGAAAACAAATCTTACATCAAAGAACATAAGTGTAAAAACAAGGAAGAGAATTATAAAGTGCTATATATGGTGCACTCTGTTACATGGCTGTGAAACATGGACGTTGACACAAGCACAGATTGACAAACTGAAAGCAATTGAGATGTGGGTGTACAGAAAGGTGATGAAAATATCCTGGGTAGACAAGGTAGCAAATGAAGAAGTTCTCAGTATGGTGAATGTGAAAAGGTATGTTGTACCAACCATCAAGAAGATGAGACCAGACAACATCCAGTGAGTCCTACTAGAGGGTCAAATAGAAGGGAAGACCAAGAACAGAGTGGATAAGAAATATTAAAGAATGGACTGAGTTAGTATAAAATGAAGACCTGGTGAGAAAAGCACAGAACCGACAGAAGTGGAGGTTTGTGACAGCCAACCTTCCTGGGGAAGACGGCACATGATGATGATGATAAAACACCAGTCCAGTAATGAGCATAGCTAATTAAATATCGTGTTATTACATATAATGATTGCAATGCATTTTCATCTTACGGGCTCCTCCGTTGTTAGCGATATTTTAGGCTGTAATTCTAATGTTATCTCACTAAGTTCGAACTGCTTACGAGACTTAGGTTAGTTCTAAATCCATTTATATGATAATAGTGTAAACTAGTACTTATAATAATGAAGGAATATTAAAGAAAAACATGTAATTTAATCTACTTACAGAAAGCTATGATCAGTATTAACTGCAGGTGTATTACATGATTATTTAGGATGCATATTGAAGGGCGAAGCTCATTAATATTTATAGTACTTATACGCTTAACTCTACTACATTGTAATAATTTCTTGAAAGCGATAACTACTTTTCGTTTTTGCAGTAATACATACATTAATAAGAGAAAATATTTAAGAGTATAACATATTCAATTCCTTTGTAGCACGGCATGGCCAGGTGGTTAGGGCGCTCGACCCACAATCCGAAGATCGCGGGTTCGGATCTCCGTCACACCAAATATGCTCGCCCTTTCAGTTGTGGGGGCGTTATAATGTGACTGTCAATCCCACTATTCGTTGGTAAAAGAGTAACCCAATAGTTGGCTAGCTGAATAGAATAGAAATACATTTCTCATAACTCTCATTTAAAGTAAATAACGTGGAATATTTTTTAATGATCAATCAATACAAAAATGCCACGCTGGTATTTAGTTATTTTTACCTACCGTTTACAGATGCATTGTACATAAATAATGAGGTTCTTAATGAGTATGTGTACTCAATAATTTTAAAACCTATGATTAACGATTCAGAATGTCTTCGCGGTTAGAAGTGATTTTCGTTATTTTCAAATTATGTTTAGTTAATTACAATAATGTTTGTATGTCTTGTCTTTTATATTTATCTATCTGCCTATATTTTTGAAACATGTAAATATGTAATACGGATCCGTTAAGAAAAACTCTTAAACTGAGATACTAACGCTGTATAAACTTATATTCGTTGACATTTAACTCTACTGTGTTGTAAGGAAGTTTTGGAAATTTTAAATCTTTTCAGGTGGCGCCACCTTTCAACACCATGGCTATCTATCTACCTCTTCGAGCCACAGACGGATTATATCGAGCAGTTGGAAGACACCCTCTAGCAGTTGCTTTGATTCGCGGTGTCAGAGAGAGACAGCCGAACCTCCTATAGAACACAATGCTGCTGCGTGTAATTGGTGGCGGTGCCACTAATCTCTGGGTAGATGTCGAGAGTAAACGTTTAGTATTTTACAATTAAGTAAAATTTTGCTCTGCAGACATCAAGAGGAGTTAAGATTACACGGTAGTAACTAATTTTATTTATTATTTAAATACATGAACCCTGAAAACGAAACGTTTGCATCACCGCATAGTATTCTGTTAAATTTTCTGAGCAGAAAAAGAAGTATGTGGCAGTAAGGAAGATCCAGTAAGGAAGATGACCGATAATTAATTTAGCAGATGGTTTCATGAGTTAGGTGAGATAGGAATTGGGTTTTTTTATGGAAAATTTGTGTGTTTATTTCTAAAGATAATAACTAGTTTAGAAATATATTAAGTTAGAGTTCTTTTGGACAGCTTTTCTATTGTTATAGAAATAAGAGAGTATTTTAGCAAAATAAGTTTTTTGTTGAAGGGGGAGTTCTCTAAAAATGGAACACCATTTATACCAGTTACTTGCATAGCTAAGAAATTTGATTTCAGGTTTTTACCTAATTTCATTATTAATAATTACTTTATGTAGAGTGGTTATAATCCACCACTTACTAAGTTTTATAACTTGTAGCCAGTTCTAGTTTTGTAAAATAATTCTATTAAGAAAATATATAAACTATCGTTATTTCTTCTTTTTTTGACACTTTATGTTAAACAACTTATTATCTTTATGTTGAAATATGGTTAGTCATGACTTTATCTCGTTGAAAATAACATTTGTTTGACCAAAATTATGTTCCAGTAGAATAATTTTTGAAAAGATGAAATAGCTGATTGCTGTTAATACAGGAAATTGAATGTGCCAAGTTTTTAAACTCGAGGTGGTAATATTTTCTTGTGGTATTGAAGCCTCTTTTTTATAGATGCAAGATAATACGTAGAATGTAAGAAATATTGATTAAAACATTCGTTGCACTCAAATACAAGCAACCAGTTGTGCGCAACTTTTGTGTTTACTCTCTTACAATGCAACGGCAATTTCTAGGAAACTGAAATATACCTTGAAAATATTATTGTTTATGTTAAGAAAGATAGAGTTTGTGGCATATGCATAATCGATAGACTTGTTAGAACAGAAGCGTAATTATTAGAATTAATAATATACCTTGAAAATATTATTGTTTATGTTAAGAAAGATAGAGTTTGTGGCATATGCATAATCGATAGACTTGTTAGAACAGAAGCGTAATTATTAGAATTAAAGATGACAATACCCAGCACACTCAAGCGTTTAGTATGAGCGAGTTTACTTTCCAGGGAAACTGAGTCTGCAATTACTTCAGTGTTATATGTAAATATAAAGAATCAGCTTACAGTTTAAGGAGAAGTTGTATAATAAAATCTTTTTACTTGAGTTCGACTCCAGGTTACAACTGTTAGATGCTTACAAATCCTCACTTGCATCTTGACGTCGGCCAGCTATAGTGACAAGTTTATCTTAGTGCTACACTTTGGTTGATACATGTTGTGGGATGTTTGATGACTACTCAAGTTTTCTCATGTTCTTGAGCTTTCGACTAATTTAGTGTAATAAAACACTGCACGACATTACTATAATGATAATTTTGTGGTAGTTGATCGAGCTAGGTTTGAAGATTCCCAAAAGCCTAACAATTACAAACCTATAAACGAGACTATATTTACAGAATTGGATATCACTTCTTAAGATGTAAGATGGTTCTTTTTCCTTATACCAATACATGCTTTCATGTAAGTGATTAGACAGGCAACAATAATCGAATAATGCGAATCAGAGAGCTCCTATATATTATTCATGCTATTCTGTGGATGCATGGGTTATTAGCACTGACCAGTGAGGCTTCGCGTTGTTCAATGTTATTCCCAGTGTTATGCATGCTTGAAATGCCAAGTGTTGTTTGCATCAGGAGTCACTATATTTAATCATGTATTTGGTCCTGTGCATGGTGATCAATAAGATCACATAAATAAATTGTGTTAATTTATGTTACCTTATGTGTTATGCAATATTATCAAACAGGTTACATGTTTTATACATCCTGACACATAGAGCATACTTAAGATATATATATGTGTTAAACAAGCTGAATAGTAAGGCCCCTTGAGTTATATACTCCGGCCAACAAGGCTCCATTTATCATACATTCCGATTTGTGAGGTTCAGTGTGTTATACATTCCGACTAGTGAAGTTAATTATGTTACATTACAACGAATATCCTGAAAGGACGGCATGTTCGATGACGAGATTCGAATTCATGACCCGCAGATTGCGAGTCGAGTGCCCTAACCACCAAGTTATGTCAGGCCCAGTAATAACCTATATGACTCATTCGATAATGGACATGTTTTAGCTGCCATTTTATATTGCTTTTGTTTCGCATTATGCTAAATGTAGTTCGAGGATGTGTCAGAGTTCAAGTCCAATAGAAGCTGTGTCAAATAGCAATATGAATATCAACAAACCACCCTGTTTAATATATTCAAACATTTCTAATCTTTCAATAAAGTTCTTTCACGGTATTTTTAAAGATTGGGTTAAATCTATACTATTTTATCACATATATTCTCGTGTTGTTTACAACGAGTGACGTATTTTTGTTAATATTTATTTTCAAATTCACAAACAATCTCGTTATTGAGAAATCATTTGCTATTTATTTATTTAGGACATAATAATAATAAAAATGAAGCACAGTATAGCTTGTTATTATTGATGACTTAATGGGTTCTATTATGTATTCTTAACATAGAAAGTATAAGCGACATAATCCTTACAATAGTATAGACACTTCTGTCCTCAATTGTCGTTTTCGTCATCAGTATGCCGTCTCTTACAGGGTAAAGTTTCCCACTGTGCTAATAGAATGACGCTAAATAAACATTTATTTCTAGCATTTCGTGAACTTACGAACGTTGTTGTTATTAATTCTTAAGAGATTGAATCTTGTAATTTAACAGAGAATAAATAATTCGCAACAAAACTAATACCTGCTTGGTGTAAAGTGACCGAGAAAAATATCTGATTTATTGATATTATGATACGCAATAGAAGTTTTGTTTTTTGATGTTAAGCACAAAGTAATGGGTTTTCTATGATCTACCCACTGCGGGTAGCGAAAATAAGATTTGTAGCGTTATAAGCCCTCACACTTACCTTTGAGCCACTGGGGGACAGCAATAACAGTAATATATCTTTACAAAGAGATAAAATGCTAATAAACTATCTGAATATGTGCTTTTCTTACAATTACACCCCAATATGAGTGGCTATCAAATTAAAACGGCACTCTATGGCTCATGGGAAATAATGCTAAATATTGAGTTTCGATATCGCAATGGGCAGACCACAGATAGCTCATTATGTACCTTTGTGCTGTATAACAAGCAAACAAATCAAACCAGAAATGTAATTCAATTCTTAAAAATTAAATTATACACGTTTTGTAATGTGTTGAAATAGCATGTACAACAGTTTATATTACATATTTATTATTTAATTAAATTTTTAAAATTTTAAAATATTTTTCACGCACAGTTTAGAATCAAATACAATTATATAAGTTTGCAACTTCTTTAACCTTTAGAATTAATATAATAGTTTGTTTTTGGATATTCACGTACAGCTACTTAAGGGTTATCTGCACTAGCCGTCCCTAATTTTGAACTGATAGACTCTAGGGAGTGCCCCCACAGTGGCATTGCGGTATGTCTGCTAAATTACAACGTTAGAAACCGGGTTTTGATACCTGTGTTGGGCAGAATACAGATAGCCCATTGTGTAGCTTTGTGCTTAATTACAAAAAAAAAGAGCTAGAGGGAAGAGAGATAGTTGACAGCACCCATCGACATCTTTTTGTGCTACTCTTGTCGGATTGAACAGTGGAGTTTGACTGTCACTCTTATAACGCACTTATGGCTCTCTAAAGTGCGGAACACATTTTTTTATTTCGATATCAAGGTTCAAACGATTGACCTGCAGATTGATATACACACACATACATATATATATATATAGTCCTGCATGTTAGCCAGTGGGCCATGCTCGATCGAATTAATGCGATTTATCAGGAAACTGGTAAACTTCATTTTTTTCATTTAGTTTAAAGATATTTCAATCTTAGTAACAACTATTATAAACTTTAATCTATAATATTTGGTAGTAGGACTGTATGTTTACTGTTATTACTGTTGAACACAAAGCTACACAATGGGCTATTTCTGCTGTGCCCACCACGGGTATCGAAACTGCATTTTTGTCGTAATAAGCCTTCAGGCTTACCGCTAAATCATTGTGTAGCTTTGGTAGTAGGAGATTATAAGAATTTGGTGTAAAGAGAGTCTTCCCAAAATTCTTCGACCGACAGTTGTGAATAAAAAACAAACTAAAAAATAGATGAATTACTAAAACATATGAAGTTAAAAAATGTATAAAATCAGTAAATTAATAAAAATTATCCTATAATTGAAGAGTTAATTGTAAACAACTCAACAGTTTTGGACGTGTGGGGTTTTAGTTTTTTTTAACCACACATGAACCTTTGTAACACGAACTCCCGTCAAATGAATAACAAGTCTTCACAATATCTAATTTCGGTGGCAATTCGTATTAAATGTATATATATATTTATACGAATACATTATTATCATTCCATCTCACTACCTTCAGACACTTTGGACTCGTGGATCGAGCTCAACGTTAGCAAGTAAAATGAGAACGTCGTCAGTTTCATGTAGTGTAACAGGAAATATGTGTATATTTAAAGTTTTACAGCAGATTTATTTGCGATCTTATCTAATGCGCTGTTGGGTATTGTCAGCTTCAGTTAGTATAAAGCAGGAAATGTCAAGAGTTGTAACTAGTGAAGGAAAGAACGCTTACACCTGATGAAGATGAAGCAGAAACTATCTGTATGTTCAAATGGTACATGGAAATGTATCTGTCACTTTTACCAGTGTAGATGAGGAAATGAAGAAATTCATTTGGTGCAGAATATCTATAAGCTTGGTAGATATATATTCTGTTTCTTCAGGAATATTAAGAGCTTAACTAGTTTAGGGAAGTATTTCTCGCTCTAGAATATCATAACAGCTCATCAGAAACTTCTTCTGCTTAGTGGTAAATATACGATATCACCTGTCTTAATTTACGATAAGTGTTATTAAGCCTAATATTTCAGGCTGATAACAGCTCTTCTTTAGAGGCATAAATAAAAACGTTATTATGTATCATTACCATTTTGTTCATGTTGTGTCGTTGAAATGTAGTGTTTTAGTTCTTTTTAT